GTGTGTTCGCTATACATATTTCCCTGCCTTTAGTTGTTAGTTAATCGTATTTATTTGAAGGTAAATCACGGTCAACATTACATAAACAATTGTTTTTTATTTCCTTCTTTGACTAAAGAGGTATATATATTTTTATATTTTATATATTTATTATCAGAAATTATTATCATACAATTGTTTTTATTTTATTTCATGACATGTCACATAATACCTTTAAGTCCTTTTATAATTTAGCGTTCCAATATATTACATAAAAAAATGTCGTGCGTGCTTATTAATATTGGTTATTACAATTTAATAAAACAATGCCAACTGCTATTGAAATAATTATCTATTTATTATTCCAATAATTCATAAATCAGGTAATTGTATGAATCGCAAAATATTATAAAACATTAAATCAAGAAATTAAAAACGTTTAGTGAATCTATTAGAGAGGATGAGCGGGAGTGAATTAAATTTATTAAATTTTCACTTTTCTCTCTCGACTTCGTGTATGAGAAAATAATAATTTGTTATTTATTGTAACTCAAATCATCTTTACACAACTTACAATTATGAATTTAAAAAAAATCCCAAAAATGAAAAAAAAACAAAATTAAATGAAAATGAATGAATTTGGAATCTGAATAAATCCTCTTTTCATTCATTCTTACATATTGCATACTAAAATTATTTCATCACATTTAGTAATTGGTGTTTTATTTATATTTTATTTATATTTTTACTACCTGAAAAAAGTTATTGTCAGACAATACTATATTGGTTTTTTAGTTTTTTAGCTTTTGAAAACTTTTCTGTTTGTATTTCACATTATAATTTACTAAATAAATATGCAAGAACACAGGAACAAACGTGATCAGATGCAGAGTTATTATAATAATGAAAAAAGCAATAATCATAATTATTATATTAATTTTAACAATGTAAGATTACATAAGTTTACGTAATTTATTGACAAGAATTTAATTAATTTTGAAACGAAAAACAAAATTAATTAATTTGTACGTCAACTGGCGAAAACGTATTAGCTGCGTCACTTCTAAAAAAGGAATTTTAATTTTGTGGTCCGTGTGCACTTGTGTACGTTAATAAGAAACACGGAGAACCCTTTTTTCCCTTTGTTAAAATATTTCCAATTCTTTGTAAAAAATAAATTTATTGGTTTTTCCTCCAAAAATTATAGTTTTTTTTTAAGTAACCTTAGCACGAACTTTGTTTGTTTTTTCTGTGATTAGTTAAACACCATACATGTAAGAAATTTTTACGTATCAATTTTATTTATATCTTATATTTATATAAACTTTATATTTATATAATTTCTTTATTTAAAGTTTCTATATTTATTATTTATTGATTCTATATTTACTTTTGCATTGGTATGGTTCTTTTTAATCAATCATTTATAAATCATTATGTTAATCATTTAAATATATCTATTAAAAATTCAGGGGTATAATTTATACAACAGTAACAGTCATATTGATTGCGATTTTGATCTATTTATATTAATATACATATCTATATAAACTTTTAAATTAATATAATTTCTTTATTTAACTTTTCTATATTTATTATATATTTATTTTTTTTTTGTTGTATTTGTATCGTTATTTTTAATCATCTAATCTGTTTCAATCATTTATAAAATCATTTAAATCTATTTATTAAATATCTAGGGAGTATAAAATATAACTGGTTTCAAATTATTACAATCATATTAGCAAATTATATTTAATCAAGATGCAATTGAATATTATAAAAATTAAATTAAACTGTGTGATCTTTTGATCTATTTATATTCTTTATATTTTAAGTATGAAGTAATACTTTTTTTTATTAGTGATACGCTTGTCTGTTGGTTTTTTTAAAAATATTATTATAAATAAATTCGAATATTTCAAATATCATTAAATATAATTGTCAAAATTATATCTTCAAATATATTTTTCAAGCATTTTCAAATGTACAAATATTATCTTCAAATTGAAATATTTTAAATATTTATAAATATCTCATCCAATATCTTCATCCAATACTTCATATAAATTTTATAATTTTTGTCAACACAATCATCATGGAAATGACATTTGATATTAATAATCTTCCACTCAGTGCTCAGTCACTTTATGAATACATGCGCAGAAAAGATATTCATATAAACGGCAAAAATGTGCTCTTTCTTCAATTAGAATTTTTATCTAGATTGAAAGATACAAAAAAATCTCTAAAAGAGATATGTAACGATTCATGGGAGTCTGCAGATTCAGAACAAAGAAGGTCGCTTGATAATATTGCAATTAAATATAATGCTATTTGCAGACAACGACGAAAAAGACGATGTAAGCGTTTGCGTAATTATGATTACCCTAATATTTTTTCATTCGATCTAATAAATGGGTCCAGTTTTCCATAAATTTACTCTGGTGGCCAGTTTTTTGAAGAAGTAACTCTATTTATTTTTTTTTTTCTAAATTATCATTCATTCTTTTTTATGATTTATAAAATTTCAAGTTTTAATTTTATTTTAAGTTTAGGTTTGGGTTTATGATATGGTTGATATGTTTAAGTTTTAAACTTTTTTAGTTAGATCTAATAAGAATAAACTTTAATTATGCTTTCATTAACTTTTATAATTACAATATGTAAATATTTATAATGTTACCATAAGCTTTATTAATATGATTGATTAGGTTTTTTTCTAATAATAACTGTGATAATAATCTACATGAATAAACTATTATGCATGTAAATAAATCATCTTGCATACATATATTATGCAAATTTGGATGTACTAGTTATTAAGATTTTGATTTGTTCGAATTAATGGGGGAGAATTTGTAAATTTAAAGCATTAAAGATATATGCTCCTGATAATAAATATTTATGTCGATTAATAGAAACATAATACTGTAACAACAAAAATCCTTTCCTTATACGAATGTTGATTAACACAATCTATAAACTAGATTTAAAAACTTTAAATTTCGATTTGAGTCTTTCTTTTATTTTCTGTCTTGTCATAACTGGTCATAACTCATAAACATTAGTAAACACTTTGTAATAAATAAACCAATTTTTATTCTTTGGATAACGTGAAATTTTTATTATTGTATTATAATTTAAAGATTAAACATAATGTTTGATATTTATAAAAAAAATTTGTAATTATTTTATAATATTGTGAAAAATAAAATACCAAGAGAAATATAATTTAGCAAATATAAAGAATTTATTATTGTTTATTATTATTCGTTGAATAATTATTTTTATCTATTTTATTTGGTTTTTTATTTATTTTATTTTTATTTATTTATTTTATTTTTATTTACAAAATTTGACATTTATTATTTCCATTTGTTATTATTTTTTGAATAAAATGTAATTTTTTATATTAAATTATAATTTAAAGATTAAACACGATGTTTTGATGTATTATAATATTGTGAAAAAAATAAAATACCAAGAGAGATATTATTTAGCACAGCGTTGGCCTATGACCTATTATGACCTACTAAAGTTATGACCATATGACCTATTATGACCTATAGTAAATTATGAGCTTTTATGACCTTCCAATGATAAATATGACCTAAAATGTCCATCACTCATTTAGCGAATATAAAGAATTTATTATTATTACCATTTTTAGTTTTTTTAATTTATTATTATTCAATTACTAATTATTTTTATCTATTTCTATTTATTTTTTATTTATTTTATTTTTATTCATTCACTTATTTATTTGTTTATTATTTATTTATTTTATTTATTTTTTATTATTTACCAATTATTATAAAATTTGTCATTTATTATTTCAATTTGTTATGACAATAAATAGATTTGGGAAGTTAACTTTGGGCACACAAATTGAATTACAAAATTATTAAGGTGTGACATGAGATAACAATGATGATTTTACAATACAATGACCATTGTACAAACTTTTGTACACAAACAATATTTAATATTTCTCGTAAATTATTTATTTTCAAGGGACAAAAACTCACAAAGCCAAATGCATAACAATAATTGATATCCAAATTTTTTTGAAACATTTAATTAAAAAATTATATTACGCATTTATTAAATTTAAAATATATTTTATTTTAGGGCTTTCAAGAACATTTTAGATGAACATAATAAAGATTTATATGATTATGAACAAATAAATATAAATATAAAAATATATTAATATAATGGTGGATTTGTTTATTGATTCTGCTGTCAATAACAAATATTTAATTTTACGTATTAAATTATTCTATATATTAAATATTAAATCATTCTACTTATTAAACATATTAATATAAAATATAAAAATATATTAATATAATGGTGGATTTGTTTATTGATTCTGCTGTCAATAACAAACATTTAATTTTACGTATTAAATTATTCTATATATTAAATATTAAATTATTCTACTTATTAAACGTATTACAGTATTAAATATTAAATTATTTTACATAACATATTAAATAATTCTATATATTCTATATATCATAACTCCTTCACGAATTTAAAATTATCATATTCAATAGTCATATTCTTAGAAGAATAAAAAGGAATAATTTTTCTTTTTCCTATTGAAATAAAGAACGAATAAAAAAAAAATAACGAACCAGATTTTAACCAATTAACCAAATTTTTTTTTTTTTTAAAAAAAAAATAATGTTCTAAATGAAGTTATTATTCAATTTTTTTGCCAAGATACTTCGGTAAAATGAAGGGTATAAAAATGCGAAAAAAAAATATTTATGTGAAAAATCAAATTATCCGAAAAAATTAATGCCATCAATTATTTCGTGTAATATATTGTTATCATTGTTATTATTATCGTCCAAATTCAAGCCGGAATTTGATTGTAGACCGATTGCAGAACTATTTCTATTTCGGTTGTTCACTACATATGGTCGGTATCTTATTGTGTTTTGATTATATCGATTCCTCTCTTGGGGAGATAATCTTCTCCAAATATTTCCAGCTGCGTGCCTTAAAGAAGAATTGATTGTTGGTTGGTCATAATTGTGAACGATAGACAAATTGGAATTTATTATAATATATTGAATGTTATAAAATAAAATGTCAATCGCTCGGAGTCGACGAGATCGTGAGAAGGGTCTTTGCGTAATTCTATCATAAATTGATCGATCATCTAATGAATTTAGTCGATCGGGGGTCGTTTCGAAAATATAATTTGTTATAATTGAAGATAATTGTATTTGAGTCATTTTAATAATTATAACAATTAATTTAAAATTTAATTCAGAAGAGATAGATATAACTATAAATGAAATAGTTAAAAGACAGAAGGTCGTGAGAAAGTTCCTTATATATGTATTTACTAGCTAGTAATTCAGAAAAAATTTTTATTGGTTTTGTTTTTAAATTTATCTGTATCAAGAATTTTTTAATGAGAATACTACAAAAGGTAAAAACAGAATTGACAATTATGAAATGTTTTTCATTCACCAAGAAATTAATTCTCCACTTTTAATTTAGTGGATGAAAAATTATTTGTTATCATACTGTCAAAAAGACACAAAAAATATGCAGGGTCAATATTTTATATTTTATATTTTATATTTTATTTTTATATTTTATTGTATTTTATATATTATATATTATATTTTATATTTTATTGTATTTTATATGTTATTGTATTTTATATATATCTCGTGAGAACCAATAAACGAATTACATCATTTTATTTATTCGCCTTCTTTCCTAAAGAGAATTTTTTTGATTACGAGAATTATTATATCTATTATTATGTTTTACTATTATTATGTTTTATTATTATATTTATTATTATTATTATTATATTTTATTATTATTATATTTTATTATTATAATTATGATGTTCACACAATGGTTATTTTCCATTATATGAGTAAATTAATATACAAATTATCCTTTATTTCCTTTTATACAAATATATTTACTGGAGTGCTTACAAATAATAATATTTGGTACAATTTTATTAAACAATATATTTTGTCAACCGCACATTTTATTCGTTTCTTGTTTCTTATTCATTGCATGAATCGTTAGATGTTAAAAAATATTATAAGAAATTATAAACGCTATCAAAGGTGCAAAAAAAAAAAAATGTATACAAGAATTATATTTTTACCTTTTCTCTTTATCTTATTCATCGTACACGTATGATCCGAATATACATAAAATATTTCTCATATCAAATGAAATGCGTGTGTCTGTAATTTTTGTTTATTAAATTTAAAGATTGTGTGAGAAATAATTTGTATTTGTTATTGGTTGTGGGGACAATGTTACATCTTTGATTGGTTGTGGGGGACAATGGGCCATTACTTCATTATATTGTATTAATTTGACATTCAATTTACACAATTTACACAATTTGAAATTCGTGCAGCTCTTAAAATTGACGCAAGGCAAGAAAGTGCTCGAACAAAAATGAAATGAATGCGAATCAAACTAAATATGGTTCAATTCATTCATACTAAATCGGTTTTTTATTTATATTTTATTTATATTTTTTATTTATATTATTTTTTTTTTTTTGCTAAAAAGAAACACATTTTCGCTTTTTTTTTTGGAAAAAAATCTCTTAGAATGGTTGAGACAATAACTATAACATCTAGCAAGCTAAATTAGTTTTATTATTGATTCGTTATTTTTGTATCATGTCTGTTCTTTTATCTCACGTATAATTTAACCTTACAGTTCATTCTATAAATGTATATATTATGGCAAGTCTAATTAAACTCATAAAACTTTAGTTCTCAAAATGATTTACCAATAGCATTATGTAAGGGTCTCTCTAAAAAAGTAATAATTTAATATATCATTAATAATATAATACTTTAATTAAAATTAAAATTTTTATTTATTTTTATTTGAAACAAATTCTTGTGGTCTGTGTACGTGTAACTATATTGTGTTATTTAACGTGATTTTTCCTTGTTCGTTCTTTCTTTGTTAAATGATTGAAACAAAAAATTCTGGTTTTTTTTTTTGTATTTTAAATACGAACTTAATTTTTATTTTTTTTAAATTCCTCTAATTCCTGTAATTTCTGTAATTTAGTGACCTATTAAAATGCACATCAGTTAAAATTTGTATAAATTTATATTTTTATATGAAATTTTATAATTTCTTTCTATATTATATTATATATATTTGTTCTTGTATTCGTATTGTTCTTTTTAAATCCCAATAAATCTTTAATATGTTACCATTTAAATATATTTATTAAATATCTAGGGGTATAAAAATTACCACCAATTATTTTATAAATTTATACAACAAATAACAGCAAAAAAAAAAAAAAAATCGCATTTACTAATTATAATTTAATAATCTGTATATTTTTAAATAAACATTTATATTTATTTATTTAACTTTTTCTATATTTATTATTGCATATTTATTTTACTTCTATTTTTTGCTATTTTTGTTCTTGTATTTGTATTGTTCTTAATTCAATAAAATTTCAATAATTTATAAATATATTTATTACATATTTAGGGGTGTAAATTATCCATTTTTCATACTTTATATAAATTTATACAACAGCTAAATCGTATTGGCTTAATTAAAGATGCGTAATTAAATATTAAAAAGATCAAATCAAACTGTATATATTTATATAAACTTTATATTTATATAATTTTTATTGAACTTTCTATATTTATTCTATATTTATTTTTGTTACTGTATCTGTATCGTTCTTTTTAATTGTTCAATATCTAGGGGTAACTGATCATTTAATTTCCAAGTTCCTTTTATTTATATAAATTTATACAGCATATTTAATTAGATGCGTAATTTAAATATTAAAAGATTAAATCAAACTGTGCGATCTTGATCTATTTATATTCTTTATATTCTAATACTTTTTTTTATAGAGATACGCCAAATGTGCCGATTGCATTGCTTGTCAGTTTATAAATATAAGAAGAATTATTTTACCTGTTTTTTTTTTTTAATACATTCAAAATATTAAATATTTTTAAACATTTTCAAATATCCAAATATCGTCTTCAATATTGAAATATTTCAAACATTTATAAATATCTAATTCAATATCTTCATCCAATATTTCACATAAATTTTATAATTTTATCAAAATAATTATTAAATAAATTCGAATATTTCAAATATCATTAAATATAATTAAATATTTTTTAAACATTTTCAAATATATAAATATCGTCTTCAATATTGAAATATTTTCAAACATTTATAAATATCTCATCCAATATTTCATATAAATTTTATAATTTTACCAACACAATCACCATGGAAATGTCATTTGATATTAATAATCTTCCACTCAGTGTTCAGTCACTTTATGAATATATGCGCAGAAAGGATATTCATATAAACGGCAAAAATGTGCTTTTTCTTCAATTAGAATTTTTATCTAGATTGAAAAATACAAAAAAATCTCTAAAAGAGATATGTAACGATTCATGGGAGTCTGCAAATCCAGAACAAAGAAGGTCGCTTGATAGTATTGCAATTAAATATAATTCTATTTGCAGACAGCGACGAAAAAGGCGATGTAGACGTTTGCGTAATAATGATTACCCCAACATTTTTTCATATGATCTAATAAATGGGTCCAGTTTTCCATAGATGCACTCGATGGTTATTTTATTGGAGAAATTTATTTTTTTTTTTTAATTAGCTTTTTTTTGTTATTTTTTTTTTTATTTTACAAATTTCAAATTTTAATTTCAAGTTTAATTTCAAGTTTTAATTTCAAGTTTTAATTTCAAGTTTTAATAAGTTTTAATTTTATTTTTAAGTTTAATTTTAATTTCAAGTTTTAATAAGTTTTAATTGTTTTAATTTTATTTTAATTTATTTTAAGTTTAATTTTAATTTTAAGTTTATGATATGGCTTTAAGTTTTAAAAAAAATTTTTTAACTTTTATTAAGTTGGAATAAACTTTCCATTACCATATATCTTTATAATAACGATATGTAAATATTTATTAAATATTTATTAAATAATGATTAGTAAATTTTTTTCTAATAATAGCATGTAAACATCGATTTACTGCAAAACATATCAATATCAATATATAAATAAAGTTTATCCTCGATGTACTTGTACTGAGTTACAGAATTACGAGACAAAAAAAAGGGGATCTTGTAATTTTACCTTCTTTCAAAGATAATAATAGATATATTTATGAGAGACGTAGGCGTAAAATGGGAGAATAACATTTGCTAAATCCTTTCCTTATACGAATATATGAAGAAAGAAACCACATATTTATCTATATATTAGTTTATTATAGGCGTGATATATTTATAAATAAAAATAATACTGGTAGTAAAAAAAATAAATCAACAACTGGGAATAACAAAAATTACCAAAAAAAAAAACGCCATAAGTCATATGACGGAATAAGATAAAATTTCTCCGATCTGACCTAAGATTCTTTGATATAAATAAAACTGGTTCACTTGTAAACTTGTAATCGACTCTTCTATTTATTCTTACCTTAATCTATAAAAAAATAATATAAAATTATATTTGTCTCTTCTATTTTATTTATATTTATCCTTATCTTAATCTTTAAAAAAAATAATGAATAATTTTTTTGACAAATATAATTTTATAAATTTTATAAGTTTGACAAAAAAAAATCTTGTTTGTTTCAATAAGAAAGATAAATAGTACAAGTTTCAGTTAAAAATTATCACAAAAAATTTTTTTACTCCAAATCAAGAAATTTTGATTAAAGTCTTTCTCTTATTTTATGTCTCGTCATGACTCATAAGTACTCACAATAAATAATACAGTATTTTTTTTTCTTTTGTCTTTAGATAATATCTCATAATTTTTATTATTGTATTAAAAATTAAAGATTAACACGGCATTTGATATTTATAATAAATAAATTTTGTACATAATTTTATTTTACACACATCTAATATAGTTCTTGTTTATTCTTCGGCCATATTACTGATAAGAATAATTATAGTAAACTGTAAACCCTGTGTAATCATGTATACATGAAGTTACAAGATAGACTTATCAAGATATCTCCGAATAAACCAGTAATATAATTATAATAATAATAATAATAATTATTATTATTATTACATCGTATAACGGTAACGAACACTTTTAATATAATTTATTTATTTTATTGCCGCCCCAAAAAAAACTGATTTGAAAATTTTTTTCGTTATGTTGAAAAGTACAGTAAATTCGTTCTAAAAAAAACTCGTTACAGGCTAACTCGTACTACGTTATAATTATTAAATGGATCGGTGAGAACTCAACTTAATTAAGTTAATTTGTTATTAGACATATTCAAGAAATTAAAGACGTATATCATTATGCTTATTTTGGCATTAAATATTGGCTCGGGCAGTTGAATGATTAAATTAATTAAATTTTAAAGTATATACGATCTTCGCATGATAACATTATAGACATGATATCATTTCTTTGAACTTTTTTATAACTTTCTAATGACTTGTCAGCTGGGACAATATTATTATGATTAAGTACTTAAGAAATAGAATGTTCCAGACGATATTAAAATAAAGACGAAACGTCGGGATTGGCTTCCGTGTCATTGGGTAAACTTAATTGAAGTAGATCAGCGGATCTCGTAATAGTATTGGTAAATAATAATAATAAATAATAATAATAATAAACAATAATAATACTAATATGTCGATGATCATGAAAAAAGCCAAGCCATTGATGTAATCTATCATATTCGGAATACTTATGTGGAATATAATTAATTGCTAATTCAATTATCATGTGTAGTCTGATGTAAAAAAATTTTATGCATAATAATTTAACTTGTAGGTATTATATATATATAATTTAAAGGGTGGGAAAGTATTTTAAAATTTTAAATTCTGTTTCTGTTAAGTTATTTAGAAGTCATATAATTTTCGACAATTGACAATATGTATAATTATTTTGTAAAATTCTGAACTTATTTAATTTCAAAGTTTTTTTTTTAAAAAAAAAGTATAATTAAATAAATAAAAAATTGATAAACTTAACTACGCGACACATGCAGATTCTAACATTTGTAAATTGACAGTATTTATAATTAGAATGTTTAAAATAATCAATTCTTAAGATCTATTTTTAATTACTTGTTGTTTGATTACAAAAAGGAAATTACAGCAATAAAAAAATCGATTTTTTTTTTTAAAAATAAGGAGTGATTTTTTTTTTTTTTGTTATAAATAAAGAGTGAATTTTTCCTGCCGTTTGTTATTCTTTCTTTTACTTTTTTACTTATTTTATCATAATTTATATTTAACATTTTTATTTTTATTTATAATTTTTATAATTTTTATAATTTTTATAATTTTTATAATTTTTCATAAATTTTCATAAATTTTATTATCAATATATATATATTTTTTATACATCAAATATGGATCATTTGCATTTGATTGATCCTTTAATAACTGTTGATGACCTAATTCACTATACAAGAGACAGCGATGTCAAATTAAGTGGGAAAAACGCTCTTTTCATTCAAATCTTCCGATTAAAAGGTCTATTAGCAAAAGATCTTTACATCGATCTGTGGAATTTGGCTTCCCCGGATCAAAGAAGAGCGTACGAAAATTTGGCAAATGACTTCAATGTCCTTAACAAGGACAAAAAGCGACGTCTAAATAGACGTAATAACAATAATAATGACATGATAAACGGGTTCAATTTTCCGTAAAAATTATAACTTTATTACTTCCTTTTTTTTTTAATAATAATAGTTTAATAATTTCATTTCTACCATGATTTTTTTTTCTGGCAAAAATCTTTCATTTTTCTTAATATTTTTTTCATTTTTTTTAATATTTTTTTTCATCTTTTTTCAATATTTTTTTCATTTTTTTTAATATTTTTTTCGTTTTTTTTTTTTTTAATATTTTTTTCATCTTTTTTTTAATATTTTTTTTCATCTTTTTTTAATATTTTTTTTTTCTAGCAAAAATCTTTTTATTCTCCTATAACACTGGTAATCAATGTTTCGTTTCTATTTTGTGAGGGATATAATTAGACATTCGTTTTTTTTTGGCAAAATTTGGACTTTTTTTTTTTTTTTTGCAAAATTTGGATCCTTTTTTCGTTTTTTTTTTGGTTATTTTTTTTTGTTAGTCACCATGTATAAATTCTAAGATTTTTTAAGACTTGCTAAATTATATTATACTTTATATTATGTAAACATTTAATATTACATAAAATTATTTAACTATATTGACAAATAATATGAATAATAAAGTTTAATTATGCAACACATATACTATATTTATTTACTTATATATTTAACTGATAAAGTATGAAATTACGATAAGATAAAGAGAAGAAAATGATATGAATAATGTTAACAAAGTAAACAATAAATGAAATAACTAAGGTCGATATAACAAACATCATATGAAATAATATACAGACATAATGTTGAAAGAAATAAAAGAAATATTAAAGAAATAAATAAAACATCATATGAATAATAAAGTAAATCGGTTTTTTTAAAAAAAATTTCAAGGACATAATGTTATGAAGAGAAAAAATAATTTTTACCCCCGTGGTCGAAAAAAAAAATTCTTTTATAACAAAAAATCTTATGATAATAGGGATTTGCAATAATATTATTAGAAGATTCATTGTAGTTTTTGTGTGTGCATTGTTGACATCCAGTAATATTTAAATTCGTATTTTTTTTTTTTTCTCATTTATTCTTTTCCCCTTCCTTGAATTCCTAATGAGTCTTCGGCTCAAATAACGAGTTCCTCCGAAATAAAATATGTTAGTTATTTTAATTTTTTTTTTTTTTAATTTCTTTTTATCATTATTTGATCATCATAATATTACTATTATTATTATTATTATTATTATTATTATTATTATTATTATTATTATTATTATTATTATTATTATTATTATTATTATTTATTATTTTTTTACAGTATTACAAAATTACTTGCTCTGGGGTTCCTAATATGAATTTAGGATATTGATTTTTTTGTATCAAATACCTAATAGTGATTGATGAGATTTATACAAGTTTGTTATTGATTTATTTTAATTTTAATGTAACCTTTATCAGTTATATAATTCTTTCATAATATTAAAAAAAATACTAATAATAATAATAATAATGATGATGATGATAAAATAAACTTAAAAAAAACAATTATAAACGCCTCATGCATTTGTGTTAATATACTCAACCGTTATTGTATACGTAGCTTAAACATTATTCACAAAGAATGGGTTAAAGCTTTTGAGTTTAAATGCACATCATAATTTAATACATCAATTACATCATTTTTTTTACCAAAAACAACAATAGCTTGATCAAATTTTTTATTATTTTAATGTAAATCACCGAATATGTATAAAAAAAAAATATAATGAAATTTGATTATCGGGTCCTAAATTAATTTATTCATTATAATTAATTAGAAATTTTATATGGTAAAGTATTATAATTATAGTAATATGTTACATAATTATATTAAAATTATAAAATGATAAGTAACTTGTTGGGAATGAAGGAAAAACGATATAACATATATGAAATATATGGCGTATTTGTGATCTTTCTTTAACCAAGAAATTACACAGTGTAAAGAGAATTCAATGGAAGAATTTTATAAAACGATCTATTTTAAATGATAATAATGATTAGTAATTGAATAATAATAATAATAATAATTAATAATTAAAAAAAAATAAAATAAAATAAAATAAATAATTAATTAATTACTTACTGTGCCGAATTTTTTCAATATTATATATAAAGCAGAGCATCTTGATTCGTCCTTTTCAGTTCATCAAATATTATCAGAATTATTTCAATTATTTCCATCAAATAATTATTACGTTCGAAATATTCTCATCATTTGTAACAAAATATATTCAAAAGAATACTAGTATATATATATTAAAAATTTCAAATTTCAAATACACTAAAATTTTCAAACATGAATTTAATGTCGTTATTAGAGAATCCACCGATGAATGCACAAGATATAATTCGCTACATGAGAGGAAACAAATCTCATATAAGTGGGAAAAATGCATTTTTTTTACAACTGGAGTATTTAAAGATAAAATCTATTATACATACGACGACGACCGATAAATCATTAAAAGAACTTTGTAATGACATTTGGATTTCCGCGTCACCTGATCAAAGAAGAAAATTCGACGTCTTGGCAAACAAAGTAAATAACATTAATAAAAAATTAAAAAAAAGACATTTTCATAAGCGTCCAAATAATAATAATAATTATGTGACTAATCAAAATAGTTCAAATAGTTTGGCATTTGACTTAATAAATGGAATTAGATTCCCTTAAAAATTAAAAATTAATACTTTCCTTAAAATGTCCTTTGGTGGAGAAACTTGGCCTTGGTTTTTATTTTTTTAAAAATTTTTTTTTATCGATTTTTTTCTTTTTTTTTTTTTTTTTTGTTACGCATAAATTCATAAATTCTAAAATTGTTTTTAAAAAATTCTTGTAAATTATATGAATTAGTTAAACTTTATTCTTTAGTTTCTTTTGGTTTAAAATTATATGAAATTAGTAAATTATATAAATTATAAAATAAAGTAATTTATATAAATTATAATATAAAGTAATATTAACTATAAATAATAATATTTTAAGATATTCTAAGATATTCGGGCGAGATATATGATAATGTCAAAGGAGAATATTATGAATAATGTACAATGAAAATAGAACTCCACATTTATAAACATAAATAAACATTACAAGTTATAATATAATTAAATATAATAATAAATATTATTATTTTATAAATAATAAATTAAATAATAATGGAAGGTTTAAAGGAGGAAACAGTTGATGACAAGTTGTAAATAAGTATAAATAGGTAGTAAATATGAGAAAACGACGGTAAAATCTATATATGGCAAAGAAAGATTACACGGACTTTGTCTGTGATATCATTTGTTTATAACAGGTTTTTCTGCGGAAATTACTTGACAAATTAGAATAAAAAAAAATCCAAAAAAACAGAAGATCATTTATTTATAATTTATTTTTAGAATGATAATCTTTGATCTTCAAATTCAAGATTATCAACTATAATAATAAAAAATGATGCTTGTTTTGTCAATTCATCAAAGTGAAATGATATATTTTCACTTTCAAATCAAATTAAAATGAAGATAAATTTATTTTAATTTACCTTAATAAACTTGAAATTAAAACTATAATTTTTTTAAAAAAATGTAATTTCTGTAAGTGAACATAGATTAGGGTTTTAGGTTCACCGGACGGATATAAGTAATCCCTTTTTTATTATTATCATTATTATTATTTTTTTTTTATTCTTTATTATTATTTTTTTTATTAATCTCTCGGAAACAATAAATTATGTTAATTATGCTAGACTCCGCTATTGGTTTGGGAAAATTTTTTTTTAATGCAATTGGGTGCACAATGCTAGACGAATATCAATTAAAAATTAACTTGTTGGATTAATTTAAATTTTTTATTTTATTTTATTTTTTTTTTTTTTATACAGTTTGTTTCTGAGATCATCCTTAATACAATTGCCCGATAATTTTCTTTCTATTTGAAATTAATGAAATAAAAATTTAATGTAAAATAAAAAAAATGTAGACTTCAAATTAATGCTTTCAAAATATATATTTTAATGCATTCGAAACATTAATTCATATATGTATATAAATTATAAATTATACTTTATTATAATTATTTATAATTACAATTTAATACGTTTGGGTTTCAGTTAAATAATATATTAACTTTGTACTATGTTTACTAAATTCGGCGTTAACTGAGTTAAATCAGATCTCATTTATTTATTCGGTGTATTTGTGTATTAATTATTAAATAAATTATATTCATTAATATTAATAATTATCTTTATTACTATTATATTGTTTATATTATTTATATTATTTATATTATTTATATTATTTATATTATTTATATTATTTATATTATTTATATTATTCATATTATTTATATTATTTACATATATATATATTTATAGTGTTTATTTTAAATTTTAATAATAATAATAATGATAATGATAATAATCATATAACAATAAACAATAAACAATAAGAGTAATAACGATAATAACAATATATTAATATTCACATTTAATGTATTCAGAAGGAAGTGGTTGTCGTATCTTTAATTATTAATTTAATTCTTAATTCAATTTCATGTTACTTATCAATTTTATCAGTTATTCTGAATTTTTGATAGAAAATAAAATAAAATATCTAATCTATCGACTGATAATGGTGGCAAAGTGTACGATACCTTACGTCATAAAAATTATTACATCATTTTCCCAGTAAAGGTAAAATAGTCTATTTAATTAAAAGGTTTCTTCTAAACAATCTCTATATTCTAAAACTTTAACATTCTTTTTTATTTTAGAAATATTCTAAAACTACATCAAATAAAATTATTAGTGTTAATATCTAAAATTATTAACGTGTAACAAATTCTGATTTTTTTTATATTAAACAAGTTTATAATATAATATTATAAACACGTGTATATTTTAATTGGTTGATTATTTATTTATTAAAACTTTGTTTTGGTAATTATGTATACTCTAACCGTTAATAATAATAAAATAATTCCTAATTTGTTAATAATATATTTTATTACTTATATACTTAACAATATTATGTATGTAATTAAATAAGTAAACTCTTATTGTTTTATTATTAATCGATCCATCATACTTAATTGTTTCTACGATAATATTTTATTGCATAATATCTGAATTCCTAAAATTTTAAAAATATTATAGTAAAAATAATATTTTATACTTTAATTACATATTAACCCAAATAATCGACAAGGGTTAATATTAATAAAATACTCGTGACTCTAATGTATCTGTGTTCGTCATACTAACAATCATATAAATTAAGTATTTCGTTGTTTCCAATTTTGTCCCTTCATCCTTTTTTTCTTTTTGTAAAATTATTGAGTCGAAAAATGTCTTTAAATTTTTTTGAAAAGTTATCTTTAAAATTTTATTGAACTTCTTAACGATAAATATGATTACAATGTAATTATTCAATTTGAAAACAAAAAAAAATCTTTGACGACACATTCTAATGTATTGAAATTTTGATCGTCTTATTTCTGTAAAGAATTAGAAAATATTCAACCGAATGAGAATAATATTAAAATAATTACAAAGCCAAGCATTTCCGCTCAATTTTATTTTTGATGTTATTCTTAAGTAAGTTATTATCAATAATAAAATTTTGTTACTTATATTGAAAATTTTAATTTATTTTTACCATTTTATTAATTTATTTATAAGTTATTATTTATTGTATGTAGATATATTTATGGTGGGGATTATTAATTTAGAAAATGTTGAAATCAGATTTATTTTTGACTTAATGTTAGCTGCTAATGAATTTGAACTTGCGGAATTATCTAACAAATTAGAAACTATTCTTATTGAAGATAAAGCTTCTTGGTTGAAAACTCATTTTTCTTTCGTTTACTATACTATTTTTGTCAAAGAAAACTTTAAAAATTTAGAAAATTTTTGTAATGATATTGTAGCCAAGTATCCAAATCTCATTTTTGATAGCTCAGATTTTACTTCTCTTCCAGAATCTTCACTAGTATCTCTTCTCAAACGAGATGATTTACAAATGAAAGAAATTAAGATTTGGGATTGTGTTATCAAGTGGGGGAATTTCTCGGAATACTACCCTCCCTGCCAATCTTAAAGAATGGTCTAAGGAAAATTTTCTCACATTAAAAACTACATTACAGCAATGTCTACCACTTATTCGTTATTTTCACCTTTCAGTTGATGAAGTCTTAGATTCAATTAATCCTTATAAAAAAATTATTGATAAACAACTTTGGGAAGATATCAATCTACATCTAGTAGCTCCTAAACGACCAGTAGAATCGATTATCTTACCAGCAAGATCAGTTTTAGTTGCAGAATTACCTCCCCGTACAAATGAACCAAAAGGTCCTTTTTCAACTATAATTTCTGAAGATCATATAGCAGAAATTTCTAGTTGGATTGACCGTAAAACAACTATTTATTCTATTTATTCAACAACAAATATTCCGTATAAATTTGATTTAATTTTGTGTGGAACTAAAGATGGGTTTGCTCCACAAACATTTTGATGCTCGTACAGTTGTCGTAGCGATAGTTAAAGGAACTGATGAAATTATCGGAGGTTATAACCCTTTAGAATGGGATAACACTTATTATGGTTATGGATTTAATAAATGGACAGAAGCAAAAGATAGTCTCATTTTTTCATTGAAAAATGGTAATTTCAAAATTCAATTCTTAGCCGAGTAAAAGATACCAAAAATGCAATTCTTGCCGTATGCAAAAATAATCAAAATACGTATAGTCCATATTTTGGATATGGTTTTTGTTTGTATAATTCTAAATCTAATTTTAGTTTAGATGTTTCTAATTCCTGTAAAAAAATAATTATTATGAAAATTCTATAAGAATACCAGGTTACTTTTCTATTGATAATTATGAAGTATTTAAACAATAAAAAAAAACGATTTTTTATTTTATTATATATCATATTTATATACAGTGTGGGACAATTATAAATGCACAATTATTATTACAAATCACATGAAATTTTACTGCATTTTAAAGCTAACTTTATTAATGATATTTATTTGATGTAAATCAAATTTATATTTAGTGATATGGAAGATCATCTTTGTCACGTTTCAATTTCCGACTTTAAACCGGAATATCTCAGTGGATATCGGTGTTATAGGGATGAAACACACAGGGATCATGTAACCCAGATCGATCGATCATAAAAATACCTTAGTAGAAATCGCACAAATCGCGATCGAAGTCAAAAAAAGGGAATTTTTTGGTGCAAAAAAAATTTTACGCGAAATCATTTTTTTGACTTCGATCGCGATTTGTGAGACAGGGTGCGACTTTCTACTAAGATATTACTATAACCCATCAAAAGCCCTTGTTCTTAGCTACATTATTATATGTGTTTAATCCTTATAGCACCGATATCCGCCAAGATATTTCGGTTTAAATTTAAAATATCCACGTGCGTAGGTGACGAAGATTTACGCCTGATATGCTTTTTTAGTCATATGATCAAATAATACATAGATGCTAAAGTATCGTTTTTGAGACACCTATGGTTATTTTTTTGACACATCAAATACGTGTGACAAAAATCGTCATTTTTTTTGATATGTTTATAATTGTTTTATTTATAGATGCATCAAAAAAATAATATTTGTCACATGAAATTTTATATATCAAAAAAAATAACCATAAATAT